TTTCTTTTTATGTAATAAAAACTCATGTTAATAAATATTTTTCAAAATCCTGTTGTAGTGGCTACATCATGAGGACAATGTTTCATACTCCTCTAAGCAATTGAGCATGTGCATGTTGGTACACCATTTCTAATATTTCTCTTAAAGTTTCAAAAAAGTCTTTGCAGCCCTGGCCCAGGTGTCTCAGTTGGTTGGAACATCATCCCATGCACCAAAAGGCTGCATGTTTAATGCCCAGTCAGGGTACATACCTAGGTTGCGGATTTGATCCCCGACTGGGGTGGGTACAGGAGGCAACCGATCAATGTTCCTTTCTCAAATTGATGTTTCTCTCTCTTCCTTTCTCTCTAAAATTCTAAAATTCAATAAAAACATATCCTCTGGTGAGGATTCAAAAAATAATAATAATAAATTATTTGTAAAGCTGTTTATCAAAAATTATTATTATTTTTTAATCCTTACCTGAGGATATTTTTCTATTTATCTTCAGATAGAGTGGGAGGGAGGGAAAGAGAGGGAGAGAGAAACATTGACGTGAGAGGGACACATCGACTGGTTGCCTCCCTCAAGACGAGGGGCGAGGATGAACCGCAACAGTGATACTTGCCCTTGACCAGAATCAAACCCGAGACTCTTTGGTCCGTAGGCCGACACTTTAACCACTGAGCCAAACAGGCCAGGGCTCGACAATTATTTTTAATATATTTTTTTGTAATTATTCATATGATTAATGGATATTTGTATTTGTTTTTAATGTACTGTACATTTATTTTAATGTAATTTTCTTTAACCTGCCTTTTAATTTTAAATTAAGCTTTTTCTCAGTCTATTAAATTCATAAAACTTTTCTTAATCTCCTTTTAATTTGTGCAAAAGTTAAACATGTCAAGTATTTATTTTATTTCAGAGAATATATATTTTATTTCTGGGAAAAAAAATTTACATCAATTTCCAGTATACAGAAGATCCCAATGAAATGTACACAATTTCAGTTATGTATAAACAAGCAAAATTCTATTGTGTGACCTACTCTGTTAACTTTAATCACAAATGCTTGAATTATCACCAAAGCAATGCTACCGATCCGAGTTAATATCTAAAAGGTGTATACAATTTACTAATACTTTGTGTCTTTTAAAATGTGTATGGATTCACTGGCATGTAAAGCAGTATTAAAAATAAAAAGAAAGAGGCATAGGCATTTGTGTTGAAGCAGAATTTAAGAATGGAGAATGTATACTGGCTTATACAATATACACATAAATATGCAGATACATACATATATATGGGTGGAAGATAACAAGGACACTTTCCCTCCAGTGATAATTAAATCTCAGAGCTGCTTTTTAAAATTTTACCTTTAGAAAGAATTTTAGATTCACAGTGGTTAAATGGATCATTAATCCCCATAAAGGATTAACAGGGAGTAAAACTTGGTTCACATGGTTGAAAGTCAATACTGAGTTTAGTCATTTATTTAATCATGTATTTGATAAGTTGTTTTTGAGCCTCTTTGATTGCAAGGCGCAGTACCAGTACCAGGCTTTTAGAAACAGAGGGTATGAATTAGAACAGATGGCATCTCCAGTTAGAAAGCACATATTTTTAGTGCAGAGTATCTAGTTCATAGCTATATAAATGTCTCCAATTGTTTTCATCACATTCTTAACAATGACTCTGCATTCTCACTGAGACTCAGAAAGTTTTTCAAAATCTTTCCCCCTCTCTTGCTAACACACTAGGAATGAAGCTCTGTATCGGTGGGCGAAATCCCCAGATGGGATGTCATACCTGTGATTGGCAGTCTAAATGAGAGTCAGGGCCAGACACACAGCACCACTGGCAGAGGTAGAGAATCGCATGAAAAGTCAGGGGACAGTAGCCAGTGTGCTTATCATTCTCCTTTTCCTCTGCTTTCGGGCAGAAACATTGCATGGCTGTCACTCAGCCTCATCACCGGGGCTGCTCCAGCCCGGGCTGGTAGTGACACAGCAGGATATTGCTGTCTGCCTTGCTAACCATCCTTCGGGCAAAGACAATAATTAAAATAGTCTGACTTCAAATGGTAAATATTTTTTGTCCCAGTGCTGTAGCATAAGTGAATCCGAATACAAAGTAAATGTGTAGCCTTGTGCCATGCCAAATGAAGCATCTTTTTTTGTTATTCCGTTTTTCTCTGCTGCTTGTAAGGCACACAACCATGGGTGTGCATACGAATGTGTGGCATATTTACATACATATGCAGTACACAATTTTATGTGCTTTTATGTGTCAAAGAGAGGTAGCCTTTTACAAAATGCCTGTAAATTGTTCCCAAGCATGTACTAGACATAATATCTCTCAGGTCAAATTAAATGTATTATGTCCTTTTAGCAATTTTAGGGGTGAAGGGCAGTTAAATGAGACTGAATTAATATTTACAGAATTTCTCTTTTAGCTTAACACAGTGCTGTTTTGGTTTTGGCTTTTTTTTTTTTTGGTTTTGGTTTGTGTTTTAAATCCTTACCCAAAGATGCTTTTCCATTTATCTTCAGATAGAGTGGGATGGGGAGAGAAACAGAAACATCCATTGGTTGCCTCCTGCACGACCTCAACCAGGGCCAGGGCCAGAACTGCAACCGAGGTACGTGCTCATGGCTGGAATTGACCCCACGTCTCTCTGGTCTGACGGCCAATGCTCTACCCACTGAGCCAAACCAGCCAGGGCCCAGTGCTGGTATTGTTATGTACTTTATTGCATTTAATTCTCATGAAAATTTATTATATAGAGATCATTATTTCTAAACCGTGATTAAAGACAGTGAGTTTCCAGAAGTTGTATAATTTCCCACAAGGCAAACAGCTAATATAAGATAGAATTGCAATTTCTTATTACTTATTGATTTGAGAGAGAGAGAGAGATTGCTGTTCCACTTATTTATGCATTCATTGGTTGATTCTTGTATGTTCCTTGACCAGGGATAGAACCCCTAACCTTGGTGTAGGATGATGATCCTCTAACCAACTGAGCTACCTGGCCAGGACTCAGTAGGATTTTCGTTGGTGTTTTAACCATTGTTTTTTTTCAGATGTGAGTTGTTGTTTAAAGTGATGATTGACCTAGCATAGACCACAGGTGTAAAGCGTCATTGTTCCTCTAATAGTGACATGTTCTTTAAAATGTGAGCTAGTGCCCTGGCCAGTTTGGCTCAGCAGTTAGAGCGTCGACCTATGGTCCAGAGAGACCCGAGTTCCCTTCCCGCTAAGGGCGTGGTTCCCGCTAAGGGCATGTACCTTGGTTGCAGTTTGTCTCCGTCCCTGGTTGGGTCGTGCGGGTGGCAACCACTTGATGTGTCCCTTTCACGTCGATGTTTTTTTTTTCTCTCTCTCTCTCTCCCCCTCCCACTCTATCTGAACAAAAATGGAAAATGTCTTCGGGTGAGGATAAAAAATAAAAATAAATAAATAAAACGTGGGATGGCTAGTATTGTTAATTCCAGAGATTTGTGGACATTAGGAAGTCTATTTGATATGGTTCCTTGGCTCCTCCCCTCACCCCATCCAGTAGTATGAAAATGTAAAATACCAACCTAGTTGTTTCTCTGGTTATTTCACTTCTTTGACCTTTCATTTGTTCTATAAATTTACATCAATGGTAGAATAGTTGTATTTCTCAATTGGGGCATTTGTATAGAACTCAGAGGTCACAAACTCCATTGCCTATAGCTTTCAGAGCTATATGGGAAAGAGATTGGATGTTTAAGAAAAGGCAACATTGTGAATTGGAGTCTGCAAGCCCCTCACAAATATATTTATTTAGATTCACTTTAAAACCAACAAACGAACAGTCTTAACAAAGCAAAGCACTTGGATATGAATTAATATAACTGAAGGTTGCACATTTTGCAACACTTAGTGAAAATTCAATGTTGATCGATTATTTGAGCACCTTGGCAGTGCATATAATACTAAAATATTATGAGAATTCAGTTAAACACTTAATGTTCCCTTTCTTTAATGATTCCCTGTGAGAACAACACTAATCATTTTCAAAGACAGTGAAGCAATGCAGTCACTGATACTAGTCTTCAGAAATACTCCTTTAAACATAAGAGGTAAGGGAAACTATGCCTCAAGGCCTCTTTCAAAGTCATTCCTGTTTTGTAAAGAAGAAAAAATTTTCACCCGGTAAACTTAATGTACTAGTAAAGATTTCAAATAAACTAAATCCCATGCATCAGAAGTCTAGCACTTCAAAATTGATATCCGCGGTTGTCAGGTTTTTTGTGTGTGGGGGGTGGGGGGTGGGGGTGGGCTGGAGGGGGATCAGAGAAACCATCCACCTTTGCATGGAGGCATCCCAGGGGTGTCCTAAAGCTTGCTCTTTAGTGTGAGGCCCAATGTGGGGAGCTGATCTGGCCTTGTAACTGGCCAGGTTTGTGTCTTCCTCTCTCTTCTTTGTGTGTCCTCCTGAAGGTGTGATCTGGGGGGGGGGGGGGGGGGAAGGTTTCCCTTCCAGGACAGTGCTAGAGGAGAACTTCTAGGTTAAAAGTGTTTCGTGTGGCTATTTCCCTTTCCTAGAACTCCCCAACTCACTGCGATGCCCTGGTGCCTCCCTGTGATGTGCTGAGCAGCCCTTGCTTCAGACAAAAACCCAGGTTCAGAGGACCCCTTACCCATTTTTCACGCTGCTTCTGCTGTTTCTCCCTATTCAGCAGCAGTGTGAGTAGATTGGCTTATGAGTTAATGCAGGCCTATGGGTTGTTGCTAGGACAAAAAGGCAAGCTTTGTTTGGGGAATGACATTTGTTTTCCAGCTTTCTCCTGGAAACCTAAGAGCCTTTCCTTTTTAAGGAGATTTTTTTCCCCATGATGAAACCATGGTAAATATTTCCGATTCATTTGGGTACAGCCGAGTGCTGGCAGCATTAGACACAGTCTGTGTGTCAGGAACTCCCAAGGAGGCTGCTGATGGGAAATCTTCGACTGAGCACGCACTCATGTGTTACTGTCTTCTTACAGGAGGTGATCGGGATCGGATGACAGCAAATCATGAGAGCTACCTGCTTATGGCGAGCACCCAGAATGATATGGAAGACTGGGTGAAGTCCATCCGCCGAGTCATATGGGGACCTTTTGGAGGAGGTGAGTCAAGTTTTAAATCATGGAAAAACAGAAAGGTAGACCAAGCCTGCTCACCCTTGCCCCCAGCTAATATTACTATCAGCTCCTATTTTCAAATGGATGAGTGTTAAAATAAATGGTAAACTATTTTCATGTTATGGTTAGACACACAACTACTGGAAGTTTAATTGAGATGAAATATCATTAATAACCAACCTTCCATAAATATCTTTAATTATCAAAAGGGATTATATCTTTCTTTTATTTTGGATTTTTTTTATTTCATGGCAATAAATAGTTATGAGACTGATAGCATAAATGTAGATTAGTTAAGAACATGTAGACATGATGCAAAAAAATTGACTAGCAGCTTTGGAAGAGATCCTAACCCGCCTGGTGCTCAATGATACAACAAAGAGAAATGGAATGCTTTGAATGAAAATTTGATGGTTAATGGAATAAAAAAAATGCTTTGTGATTGGGGAAGTGTTTGTGGATTGGGTAAGTTTGTAAAAAAAACTTAGTTAATACAGCGTTGAGAATTCACCATATGCAGAATAAACTAAATGGTGCTATGAACAGAACTAAAAGGAGGAGGAAAGGGTAACAGATGTGATCTTTGTTTATCAAGAAATATAGAATAATATGGACAAAAAAAATTACTTAAAGTAAACATTCAGTAGATGGAACCAATAAAATAAGAACCCCAAAATATTAATCTATAACCAACATGTATTTCCCAGAATGTACAGGCTAATTATTTTAGGTTGATATAGTTTAAATTGTATTAAATCAGATTCATACTTAGTAAAACAATGATAACTTCCATATTTATTTTATATTCTCTTATGCGTTGTCAGCACTCTGAATTCAGAAGTGAGTTTTTTCCCCATTACATATCCTAGGTTTCTTAGGCTGACTAACCACTTTACATTTTAGAAAAACTTCAAAAGCTTCATTTAAAAATTGCAAAGCTAGGTTCAGGTTAAAATAGTAAAGATTTATTAAAGACATACTGGTATTTTACCCGATTAAGGATACATATCTGCAAATTGTTTGTTTTTCAACAATACCTTCTGTTGGGGAGAAGCTGACCCTTCACCCCAGTTTGCCTAGTAACTGTGTGGTTTACAACTGTTGTTTCAGGCTAATGATTGACAGTGCCATCTCTCACTCTCCGTGTTTTAGTTTGGGTGACTACTTATATAGTCACCCTATTCATGTACTAAAATGGCTGGTAAATGGCTCTGTAAAGCATTCAGAAAGGGCCCCACCCCAGAGCCTTATCGAAAGGTTCCTCACATGACTGTCCATGTGAGACAACATACTTTGCTGCTGGAGGTTTGCTGGTACCTCCAGGGCCATGGATTTACGGGCTTTTCAAAGTTCCTACTGTTTATAAAGACCTTCAAAAAGCAGAGGGGACCCTCTGTTATGAGATTTCTGGAGCTCCTTAGTTCAAGAGAATCTACTATCTACTGAAGAGGGTATTTTGTTGAGGGAGTATTTCCATCAGCTGTGTTCTTTCCTCCCTTTCCTCCTCTTCTGTCTGTCCTTTTCTCGAGAGAAATGAATGAGATTCAGTAAGTTTCACCAAATCAGTAACTATAAGAGGTCCTATCAGCCCAAGAGTATCAGAAATGATCCCAGTGGGACTGGGCAAAAGCTATCAATTAATCTTCAAATCTATGAATTTGGAAGTAGATGATTAGTAGATGATTGATTTATGTACATACTTCCAATGGAATATGCTTCAGGGATTTTGCAAATTCAGAGATATTTTGGCCTAGAGCATTTGTAATAGACACAATGCTCCAAAGAATAAATCTTCTGCCCTCTTTGTTTAATTGAAGAGTATTATGAGATTGCAAAGTAAGCTTTTGTTTTTTAAAATTTTTTTATTTTTTATTTTTGGTACGTGCCCCTAGCAGGAACCGAACCCGGGACTCTCTGGTCCACAGGCCGATGCTCCAACAGACCAAACCAGCTGGGGCACAAAGCAAGCTTTTAAAGCACTCATTCAATTTGCAAGAAATCCTTTGTGATTTATGTAAACATGGGAATTTTCTAAAGTTAATATAGAATTTAGAACTGAACTAAATATTGACACTGACAGAAGATTCCAAGTGCCACCCATATTCATGGGTCTCAAAGGTTGTATCAAAATAGGCCCCCTGTGCTCACTGACTGGATTGTAAAGAAAAATTATAAACTTGAGTTTCAAATAATAAATTTATATGACTCAAAACCCTTTTATTTACCTATATATTAGGATTTCACTTAACATTTCATTGGAAATTTTTTCCACTGACTAAGAATATTTCAAAACCACTGTTTTGCCTGGCCAGTGTGGCTCAGTGGTTGAGCATCAACCCACGCACCAAGAGGTCACCAGTTTGATTCCCAGTCAGGTCACATGCTCAGGTTGTGGGCCCAATCCCCAGTGTAGGGCATGCAGGAGGCAACCAATCAATGTTCTCTCTCATCGATGTTTCTAACTCTCTCCCTCTCCCTTCCTCTCTGTCTAAAATCAAAAAAGAAAAGTTAAAAAAAATAATTTAAAAAACACCACCACCAACAATACTGTTTCAGTTCAACCTCCCACCTTTTATGGCTTAGGTCACTAAGGCCCGGGGAGGAGGAGTAACTTGACAGGTGTCTCACTGGGAGTAACAAAACTGGGAAGAAAACCCAGGTCTCCTGCCTTGTGAGCTGCCTCCTGCTTTTTAGCACAATAGTGTGATCTAGTACTTCTACTGTGGGAGTAAAAAAAAAAACAACCCATGATTACAGGTCCATGCCTCATTGATAGTATATTCTTCATTGTATGAAAAACAAAAGGTTTACAAAGTGTGATGATTAGAATGAATAGAATTTTTCAAGTCCTTCAAAAATACCCAAATTCACACCATCAAGAAAATGAGAAAACAACCCACAGAATGGGAAGAAGTATTTCCAAATCATATATTCTATTCAAAATATATAGTGAACACTTACAACTCAATAATAAAGACAAGTCAAATTTTTGACACAATTCAACTCAATTAAAAATGGGCAAAGAACCTAAACTGACATTTCTCCAAGGAAAATATATCAATGACCAATAAGCACATGAAAAGATGTTCAGTCCAATGGTGGTATACAGTTATTAGTCACCAGGGAACTGCAAATCGAAGCCACAGCGAGATACCACTTCACACCCACCAGGATTGCTAGAATCAAAAAGTCTGATGGTAACAAGTATTGGCAAGGGTGTGTAGAAATCAAAACCCTCCTACATTGCTGATAGACATGTAAAATCATGTAGCTGTTTTGAAAAACATTCTGTCAATTCCTCCAATGATTAAACATAGTTACAACAGGAGCTAACATTTGCACTCCTAGGTATATGCTTAGGAGAAATGAAAATATGTATGTCCACACAGAAACTTGAACATGAATAGTTATAGCAGCGTTATTCTTAATAGCCAAAGAGTGAAAACACACACATGTTCATCAGCAGGCAATGGATAATCAAAATGGATTACTAGCCATGGAATGGATTATTATTCAGCCGAAAACCGGAATGAGGTACTGACTACATGAATGAACCTTGAACACATTATGATGCTAAGTGAAAGAAGCCAGTCACAAAAGACCATATATCATATGGTTTTATTCATATTAAACATAGAACTGGAAAATTTATAGAGACAGAAAATAGATTAATGGTTGCTTAGGGCTGGGAAGGGAGGATAAGGGAAATGGGAAGGGGGAAAATAGGTGAGTTATGGGATCTTCTTTTGAGGTGATAATCTTTCCTAAAATTAGCTGTGAGGAGGGTTTCATATATCTGTGAGAGTATACTAAAAACCATCGAATTGCAAACTTTGGGAAAATATATGATATATGAATTATATCTCAATGAAGCTCTTCTAAAGAGTTCCTGAATTGCCATAAATACTATACATACCTTACATAAGAGAATACATTCCCCCCCCCCCCATCTTTGTTGTGGAACCTATCTATGACCCTGTTCATCCTAAATAAAGGCCTCGTTGCCCTGGCCAGTTTGCTCAGCGGTTAGAGTATTGGCCTTCAGTCCAGAGAAACCCGGGTTCGGTTCCCACAAAGGGCATGTACCTCGGTTGCAGTTTTTCCCCGGCCCTGGTTGGGTCGTGCGGGTGGCAACCACTCGATGTGTCCCTTTCACGTCGATGTTTCTCTTTCTCTCTCTCTTCCTCTCTCTCCCTCCCACTCGATCTGAACAAAAAGTGGAAAAATGTCCTCGGGTGAGGATAAAAAATAATAAAATAAAACAAAAGACCTCGTGGTTTCCAACCTCATTCCTACCCCTGAAAGATTGTTGTCCTCATTGATTAAATGGCATCTGTAAAGACATTTGGAAGGTGACATGTCTCCCTAATTTATCAATTTCTATATATCCCCTTGGATACACTTTAAATGTGTCTATTACAGAGAGGGCATTTCATTGTCTGGATTGCAATTTCACAACCTGTGTTTTTAGAAAGTTAAAGTTTTTCATGAGGCACCTAAGCTTATCTTTGTTCAGGTTGCACATACATGTAAAATATTCCCTCCTTACCATGCCAATAAAAGACATTTGATTAAAATAGAGGAGAAACCTGAGGAGCTTACCTAGCTTTTCAAGCTCCAGAAATAAAAAAAACTAAGTGAAAATTGCTCAATAGGTGTGGGTTGCTGGTTTGCACCAAGAGGTCGCCAGTCGATTCCCAGTTAGAGCACATGCCCAGGTTGTGGGCCCAATCCCCAGGAGGGGGCATGCAGGAGGCAGCCAGTCTGTGTTCTCTGTCATCGATGTTTCTATCTCTCTCTCCCTCTCCCTTCCTCTCTCTAAAAAATCAATAAAGAAAAAAAACTTAAAAAAATAAAAACTAAGTGAAAATCATAAAATATAGAGCTTTTCTTTTTATTAACCAAGAAAAACTTAGACAACAACCAGTCAGATGAGGGAAGGGAACCAATGGAATTGGTAAAGTAGACCTCCTCTCTTAACAGCC